TACATTCGACTACTCTTGATGGTGTCTCACATGATAGCCCTTCCTCTAGTAGGCAAAGACGCAAACAGTCGATAAGGCACAGAGAAGGCTGCGAGAGTTAGCCGTCTGAGCAATAGAGATAGGTATTTGCAGCGCGTTATAGAATGGGACCTGTTAAACTTGTGATATCGATGGAAAATAGAGGAATGAGTAGCGGCCTGGAAAATGGTGCATGAATTGAAGCAAACGTAGAGAGGAACAATGCCGTTAGTCTTGCGGGATTCTCAGTTTTATACCTTGTCGTATGACTTTGACTGGATTTGTATGCAGCTTCTCTTATAGCGTGCACTTTGTTGAACGCTATGATGAAGGGTATAGCCACAGCAACATCAGCTGACATTTTCAGCTTCGCTGGCCATCCGTAGATAGTGGAAAACGCATTGAACGCAGGCATATCTCCGGATTCATTTGTTCTCAACCTTCGACAGGCAATGTACTCTCACAGATTTCATGGCTCATTATTGCTTCTCATACTAAGTGATTATACTCTCATTAACCTTCACCACCGTTGTTTAACTACATCATTCTGATGCAATATTTGTGACAAGCAATATCTGAACAACTTTTCACTCCAGAAGACTTTGTATGGCTTGACGATTTGTTTCTTTCTAGACTTTTAAAGCTTCAACAAGGAAATAGCATTTAGACATTGCCTGTAGAAATGGCATGTGTTCACATAATTTATTATTCGAAATGTGTAGTTGTTATAAGTACGTGATGACAGAGGCTGTCACTAACATTCACTGACACCAGTCGAACATATGCTCGTTCACCCCCTTGTTACTTGACCCCCGTATCAAGATTGTGGACGATACGCCTTCTGCATTGTCAGCAACAGCAAAATCTGCATTGATACTTTTCACTTCTTTACCAGCATACTTTACTGGCCGCGCCTCTAGCCATACTTCTTGATAACGCTTAGTTTAGCGGCCTCGTTCCGTCTTTTAGTTATCGTTTATTATCATATGCAAGTAAGTCTTATATACGTGTTGAGTCGTCGGCTCCAATATCCAATATCTTTTTAACGAGCTTGTGTAAACCAGTCGATTTCTTCGCTCTCGCTTCTTGGCCTTGCTGAACGGCTCCAGGTCTTTGGTGGATTCCGATGCAGTAGTGTACCCACTCGTCTGCTACAGCTCTGATTTACAGAACAGGAAGTTAAGTGTTGGTTTGTTTGCCTTGGACTGTGGTGCAGTTGGCTCCCTCAGATGTCGAGCTGCCAGACAGTTGTTAGGACTGGTCGCTAGAGAGGGTTGGGGATAGTGAAGAGAAAACCTAGAAAGTGTGTTTGTGTGAGTAAAAGAAAAGAGGAAAAGTGAACTAATGGAGTAATCTACTTACACCCAAGTAAGGTGAGTAGGGGTGCAAAGGTATGAAGAACTTAGGTAAGTGAGGCTAACTTATGGCAAGTGGAAGGGGTGAAAAGGGCTTAAATGGTTACAATAGAAGGAAACCTGGTCTGGGCGGCTTGACGTCACTTCGTGTTCCAGCTATGTGTGGGTAGACCATGAGTCCCTGCATGACTGTCTAGCCTCTTCTTGAAGCTTTCAACAGTTGGGGCGGAGACCACCTCTGCTGGTAGTGCTTTCCAGTACCCACAGACTCGGGGGGAGAAGAACTGTGAAAGCACATGCGTTTCTGACCACTGGTGTGCTATTCTATTGGGGTTTCCTCGAGGATCTCCGTAGTGGTCACTCGGCAGGACTCCTCTCTTTGGGTGACTTAAGTTACTCATTATTTTGTAAGCCATTATTAAGTCGCCACGTATCCTTCGATAGCTAAGGGAGTATAGACGTAGGTCTTTGAGTCTATCCTCATGTGGTTTTCGTTGCATTCCAACAACCCCTTTTGTGGCTCGCCTCTGGACTTTCTCCAGTAAGTTTGAGCCTCTTTTCAGCTGTGGTGGAGAGAAGACGTTGTGGGCCTCTAAGTGCGGCCGTATGTAAGTCTTGTAGAACTTCAGAAACAGTTCTGGGGTGAGGGCACCCAGCTGTCTACGTACAAAGTGTAGTACCCCATATGCTTTTGAGACATCACCTGGGTAATTGGAACTGGTGTCCAGTTTCTCCATCACCGTTAGACCCAGGTCTTTTTCTACTGTGGTATGGAATAGACGTGAACCACAGAGACAGTAGAATGTTTTCTGGGGATCAGGAATGCGGAAAAACATGGACCGGTACCTATCCAGATTAAATGGCAGTTCGTTATTAGTTCCCCATTCCTCTAGTGTTCTGAGGTCCTTCTGTAATGCCATAGATTCCGCTTCGCAAGTTATTGCCCTCCATAACTTGACATCATCAGCGCGTAGGAGAATCGGGGAGCTGATATGGTGCTGCAAGTCATTTACGAACAGTAGGAACAATAGTGGGCCCAAGATTGCTCCTTGTGAGACCCTGGGTGAGGATGTTCTCCAAGTTGAGTAGACCCTGTTGACTTTCGTGCAGAACTCCCTGTTGTCCAAGTAGTTCTGCAACCACGATAGCACTTGGCTGCGAATACTTAACCCAGGTATCTTACGTATTAGGATATGGTGCGAGACGGTGACAAAGGCTTTGGCGAAGTCCAGAAAAATTGCGTGGACCGGGACCTTGAGACCCCAGCATGCTGTCCAGTGATCATGGGCCGCCAGGAGGTTGGAGGCACAGGACCTACCCTTCCGGAAGCCATGTTGGGCGTCACTGAGCGCCCGCTTGGTGTCCAGATATTCTCTGATACGGTCGTCCATCACACTTTCCTTTACTTTTGATATTACTGGTAGAAATGCTATGGGTCTATGACAGTCGGGATTCTCTCTGTCTCTTCCTTTGAAGATGGGAGAAAGGATAGCCCGTTTCCACTCTCGTGGGAGCTTTCGCTCATCCAAGAAGTGTTGGAAGAGGTTGCAGAGTGGGCCACTTAGGGTACTTGCACATTCTTTCAACACAGGTGGGCGAATGTCGTCGCACCCTAGGAATTTTCCCGCGCTTAACCTTAAAAGCTTGTCGAGGACAACAGCCCGAGTTATCTGTATTTCGTGTAACTCAGTAGCATCGGGTAACGCTGGGGCTGTTCGTGCAATTGGTATGCTCACTCTCTTGATGGAATGTTGAGCTGTGTGTCAAATTTGGTGCTCAGCATTTCAGCAATCTCCTGTCCAGAGAGGTTTTCTCCGTTCGGACCCTTTATGACACATGCTCCCTGGCTTGTCGATTTTCTTTTTGCCATGAATCGGTAAAGGCTTTTAGGGTTTACCTCAAGCCTTTCGGCGAGGTTGGACTGGAACGACCTCCTGTCTCCCCGCACCCTTATATTGCTTTGATTCCGTAGAGTCATGCATGCGTCATGGTCGTCCTGTTCTCTGGAGGGTCTCCGTGTGTGCCATGCTCTTCTCTTGGCTTTTAGAAGGCGCTCAAGGCCCTGTTTTAGCCATAGTGTTCGCTTTCTGGTTGTTGTTACCGCCAAGGGGGCGTTTTGCGAGACGGCAGCCTTAATGACATCTTTCACCAGTTCCTAGTGCTGGTCGATCGATAAGGAACACCAATCCACTGGCCACGAAGCTATTGGAAGGCTCTTGTCCATATCTTCGTAATTTGCCTCGTTGTAACATAGGTAAGGGCGAGGCCCCCCCCCCCATGATAGCTCTTCGCTAATTACCAGGCCGAACATTACCGTAGCGTGATCGCCACTTCCAAGAGGGGTTTGTACCTGAACGTTTTCGACCAGAAGGGGATCACTAGTCAGTAGGTACTCCAGTCTAGATGGTTTATCATCTGACCCCCAGCGGGTGTTGTAGCTGATTTTTTCCTGCAGCCCAACCACTTGGATGGCGTTTAGCGGGTTACAGTCGAACTTCCGGCTCGAGGTAGTGCCACCTTGCTCTAGGCTGAGGGTTGGAACTTTGAAGTCGCCAGCTATTAAAATCTGGTCGTACCCTATGCTTGATACTGTGGATATTGCTTGGAGTAGTTTTCGGTTGTGTTCCAAGTTGCTATTAGGGGACCTATAGATTCCTCCAACTAGGAATTTGGTGTGTTTGACCATGAAGTGGCACCAGGTAAAGTCTGGGAGGCTTGTCAGTGCCGTATCAGTGGTATGTTCACTCCTGAACCGCTTGTTCACGTAAACTGCAACTTCCCTCCGTCCCTATGTTCTCTGTCCCTCCTGAACAGAATCATATCATCTATGTTAACTTCGGTGTCAATTGTGTCTGCTGACAACCACGTTTCTGTTAGGATCATGATTTGCGCGGCGAGGTTGAGGCAGAGGGATAGAAGCTTTGGTATTTTACTTCGGGGTCCTCTCACGTTGCTGTAGAGACACTTGGAGGTGTTTCTCGTAACGTGAGATGTCTCTGAGCTGACTAGTGGCACCGGTTTGGTTGTGGGGTTTCTACTGACTGGCCAGTTCCAGTGGAACTCCCCTATTCCCTTCCGGATTTCGATGATTAAACGCACTCACCCGACAAACAACGTACCAACTGTCAACGGACTAAACGAAACCCTTTCAACATTCCAGTCAACATTTTCGCGAGGAAACTCGGGGGAACCCGCGGCAAATCGAGGGGAATAAAAAGTGCGGGGCAGATGGGAAGAACACGGGGCATTTCGAGGTGAAAACGCGGAGCAAATTGAGGACAAACGTGGGACAGAACACGTGGGCTAAAAAGTCGGGGAAATGTTGCACAATCTCGCGTTTTGCTTCGAGTTCTACCCCATGATTTCACTCCAATCTGCAGTTGCCCCCGTGTTGACTGAGAGCTGGTTGTCACACCTAGTACTTACATGCAGGCACCCACAATGCGAGGAATTGCAATTGTTTCATTTATCTTATCAGGATCTCCGTCGCTCCCAGAAACAAATCAGCCCATAATTTGAAAACGAAAACCTTCAGATAACCATTCACAACCTCGAAATCTATGTGCAGGGAAACTTGAAAGACTTGTGTGGCCACCAAGAAAAATAAACAACCCACATGGATGAAACGTGAAAATTGGAAAACTACAAGTTACCCCTATTTCCACTACTGTTGTTGGATGTTGAGTATTGGACAACTTGTGAGAATTCAACGTTGCTCGTAACTTTCCGACTAAGTGTCCACAAGACATCGGGAATAAATGTAACTTTCAGACTTCTGAAAAGTATCAAGTGCTTCTTACTTGATCACTAATAGAGATGCTTCTTATTGGTATCTACGGGGAAATTTATTCTAACCACTAAAATAGTCAAACAGAGTTTATGACGTCAAATTGCCTAATCGTATTTCAAATGTATACATATTTCTGCTTTTGCTGAAGTACACCTTGAGTGGTCACATATAAAGCAAATAAAAATGACACACGACTGCATTCTCCCATAACTTTACAGTTTGAGATGCCATCAAAGTCGTTCCGTCCTGTGAAACAAACTCCCTATTCTCATAATGATGTCATTCTACTAAAAGACCCTATTATTACGTTGATTAATAATACCGTCGGAGTGGCTGCTTTGGCTATGCCATTTTGCTTCCATCAGGTACTTTATTATTCTTGCTCATTAGAAATTCAAGTGTGGTATTCTATTATCTTTTTTGTTTCTTGGGATCACAGCTATTTTTTCGGTAATGTCATGTGATGCTCTCATCTACATCTGTTCCGCCCACCGAGTTCTTCCATTCGAATACGCTTGTAAGTTGCAATATTCTTTTTGGACCTCTGTTTTACAGGCTTCAAAGCATTGGGTTATTCAGGGAAATGCTTGGCCGAGTTGAGGTAATAACTGTATTACGATATTGTGTTTTAGTATCATCGGTCTACTATTTGGTTACGTTGTAGGGTATTATGTCACCATTGCAGATCTCAGTACTGGTGTTGCCTCACTAATCGCCGAGTCCGTGGTAAGTTCCTCATTTGAATAAGTCTTCTTAATTAAATATTTGTGTGAATCTTTTAAAGTGTTTGATCCAATGGTCTCACTGTACACGGTCAATATAATGCGTGGTTAGACTAGTCTGTGCAATATTTCAAATAAACGATTACCATTATTCCATAACCAATCATTTCTACACCTATGCCATCCGCTCGAAGTAAATTCAAACACATCGTGCTTTATCCATGTTTATGAAATGTTTCCATTCTGAAACACAGCCTTCTCATTGGTCTAAACCCAAGCGCTATTGTTTCTCGATATTGCCTGTGTTTGCTGAAAAAATGAAAAGTAGATTCCACGTACTTATGCTTAGTGTAGATTATTGTCCAGTCACGTATGAAGTTTTTATAGAGATACCTGGTAGATCGCACCACAACAATTTTTCCTCCTCTTGTTCGTCAACGGCTGGTGAAGTCAAATATTTGGTTCATCAAATAAATTTGCAAAATGGGGGATACTTTTATTGTTAGCATCTACCAGTACGTCGTTTTTACCTGAATGAAAGTATAATTTTCACACAATTCACTCCTTTTAGACGCTCATAGATGTACCGTGGAATGAAAACCAGTAGCGACCTTACTTTTAATGATCCAAACTAAGAAGCAGAATATACGTAACTTGGCTATTCTCTTTGTTCCGTCTTCTACTTTTCGGTATATCTGACATGGTGCAGAAAGGAATCTAGTTCTGTAGATTTCGAATTAAGAAAGCAGCATTTGCGGAAAGTGATTACGTTTCATCTGCGATATTGTCCATAGAAACCTACAGCTTACCATCGTTACTTCCCCCACCGATAGCTGCTACCCTAACGCGGTGGTCGGGCTTGCATATAGGCCGTATTCCGTGGTGTCACCACGTGAGTAACGCAGACGTCAGATGTAAAGTTCTAGGGAGTAGAGGTAAATCAGTTGGCGGGGTTATGAACCTTCATCGACTGAGATGGTTGGGACACGTATTACGTATGCCTAGTCATCGATTGCCTCGTCACATAATGTTGACTGAGGTGGGTCCAGGCTGGAAAAAGGCCCGAGGTGGCCAGACTAAAACATGGCACCAGTGTATGAAGTCTTTGACTGTTGATTTGAACCACGTGGGACGATGCATACTAGATGGTTGGGGTCCGCGGGACAAGAAGAACCAGCGGTTGGAGACTCTAGGGGACATGGCTCAGAACCGATGTCAGTGGCGCAGATGTATACACACATTATCCTCATCTTAACGATGCTATGCCGAATCTCACCATTTTCTCATTCTTTCTTTCTCTCTTTTCGTACTTTATATTTCTTTTGACTGAATTTTCTTATCTTCATCTTGCACCTCACCGCATTTTTACTTGATGTACTAATATGAGCTGTGGCAACGGACCGTTACACAGTAATGCCTGGTCTTGTGTTGATATTGATTGGTTGATTGTTCGAGGGCGGAGTTGTACTGCTGACTGGACGAGAGTGTGACAGCAGTATAGTGTTTACCGCAGATGGCCAGCACTACCATACTGATATTGCCTTCCCTTTGGGAAAAGGGACTAAAAAAGGTTAACGCTGAAACTAGCGAATTCCTCTCTGCCTTTCGGTCTTCCAGTGCTGCTGCTATAGATTTCTCTTATTTAACAGTCTCACAAACACCACTATACAAAACTTGAAAAAGTTGTGCATGACTAACCTTAGGCAGATGTATTTGGGGTATTTAGCCAAACTTTACACTGGAGCTTTCACTATCCTGACCCTATACCAAATCGGACAATAAGTACACCTTAGCAAAACTCGAACCATGGTTACATTGTTTTTCTGAGATATTTATGCTGGGCCCGTGAGGTTAATCACTTGACCCCTACTGTCCAATTTGCTAAGTCCGCAAACATCACCCTACAAGTGTCCGGAGATTCAGTAGTTAACTCTCGTTGACTCACTGGTGTAGGCATAGCATTAAGTTACCAAGCAGAAAGTGCGTGTTTCAGCTGGATGCCCGTCAATAGCCATCTGTGCACTGTGCGGCTGAATGGATCTATAAGCACTGAGAATGACCGTGACATTCGTGTGTCTTTTCGTAGGCTTCACCTACGCTCTCACTGACTGCATTTTGGGATGGTACAAAGAATGAATTCCGCCAAAAGCTTTCAATTTTACTGGATTAAGTTAAACTATCAGATAGTCGAAGTAACAGTCAATTTCAGCGCGGAAGTCTAAAAACTCCACTCAGTAGCCATACTCACTTCCGCCCAGTAGAGAATGATGCACCACACCTACTTTTTGAGGGCTAATGATACAACTTAACTGTCCAGACCTTGGTCAGTGGAGCGCGGTTTGGACCTATGACTCATAAGTTAGAAGTCAATCGCTTCAACCAGTTAACCGCAGCCCCACTAACCCCTAAATAGGAAAGCTGAGCTAGTCGATAAGTTATCTTGGAGGTATTTGTGGCTTATTGGTTTATGCAGTCGACTTTCAATCAGTGGGTAAAATCCCTGTCTCCCTACTGAGGTGTGGGCATCCAGCTAGTATTATTAACCCTCACACCAAAGGTATGGTTCACTGCCTACTTTATGAACGTGCAAGTAGTTGTTGAGTCCATTTCGTTATTTGATTTGACCTACAGTATCCATTACTAACTAACCGATAACAGCAATCATCTGGTATTTGGTTCTGTCAGTCACTTGTTTTCGGCCAACACTGTGGGCATAAAAGGAGACACTCACTTAGATTCCGCCGAGATCATACCAACGATGGACATATTGCTCCAGCAGTCGCTGGAAGATTTCCCCTATTTCTGGAGTGCCTACTTGTATTCCGATCACTCGACAATACGAGCACCCTACTGATTGCAGGAAACAGGTGGTAGTGAAGCATTTTTACTTGATTGGAAGACGAAAAAGTGCTTACTTGAGAGGAGATATCTAAGTATTCACCCGAATGTGACAGCCACTCTCATTTCGATTGAGCCTGACGTGATATTCAGTCTGTTGTAGGAAAATAGGTAAAGAAAGTTCATAACCTACTTCCAAAACCTAACCAAAGTCAGTGGATTTCCGAGCTTATTGATGCGAGAAGACTCATTCCAGCTGACTGACCACAAAGTGGATCAAAAGCACCTCAAACATAAAATGAATACAAGTCTTCGCAATGGTTGTAGGCAATGGTGGGTGACGAAAGCGAGAGAGATGCTGAAGGCATCAGCCGTAGGTAATAATTAGCAACTATTTTGGATTGTTAAGGATGCTGACAATAGGAGGACGATTGTCAGTGAGACCATCACCGAGAAAGGTGGGATCATGACAACCTCTCTGAACAGTCAGCTTAAACTTCTGGTGGACAGACAAACAAACAAAATCAACGTGAAACCCCGCGCATCGGTGCATCGTTTCAAGTTACCACACTTCACATTAAAATGCAAAGAACAGGTACGTATAAAAAAATGATACTAATACAGACAAAGGTTAATGGGAAGGAAAGCGATTTGGAAATCAAGGTTGGTAAAAGTTTCCAAGCTTTTGATGTCAAAGAGGAAATACATCTGCACCACTGTGACCTATTTTCAAATGTCACCAAGGCTCTCCAACTATTAATTCCTATCGTCTTAAGAACCCTGTCCAGGCAGTCTGCACCTCTATACGTAATTGGAAACTCCTTGAACTGGTGCCATGTCTTGGTCTGGTCACTCTGAGATTTCTTCTAACCCAAGCTAACAACGTCTAACGCTTCACCTCGAGGTAAGCGGTGGCTTGGTATCCGCCATGGATGCCTGTTGTCACCGTTCCTGTTTAACTTCGTTATCGATTTACTAACTGACACAACCTTTGGTGCCTCTAACTTCACATGGATTAAAGTACTCCATAGAAGGCATCTAGTTGACTTGGAGTACGCGGACGACACTATCTTGTTAAGCAAAGACTCCGACAAAGTTCAGGGCTATCTGAATACCTTAATTATAAATCTGAGCATGTTTTGCATGCGTCCCACACCTATCGAATGTAAGATAATGCTCCAGGTTTGGCCTTTGACTACTGAAGGTTTAAGGATGAATGATGGTGGAATGCGCTGACCACTTTATTTACATGGGGAGTTACATCAGCCTGAATGGCCTGGTTGCCGACTGGATTTCAGATCCCATACACTAGGCCTGTTTGACATTTACCAACTCTCGTCATCCCGACCGACAGCAACTATTTTGACGTGGTGGTCGGGCTTGGATGTCACAATAACCCAACGAGCTATGCTGATAGAACACTTGTTTCCTTGAGGTCCTACCATACCAGGAAAGTCTGTTTAGATAGAGGTAGGACAAAAGCAGTTACCATTATAGTGTATATTGCTGCGCTATGATTGGAGTGTAAGGTCGAAGTTGTACGGCTACAAGCTGGGTAGGGGTGTGGCAGCAATAAGGCATTTCCCTTGGATGACCAGCAGTGCCACGCTGATGCTGTCTTCCCTATGGGAAGCGTGGGTTCGGAAAGGTTGAGTTCAAAAATGGCTCACTCCGGCCCCCTCGCGGTATGCCGATGCCTGTAATAAGAATTCATAGCCGGATTCAGTAGCGGAAATCCAAACTCCCAAAAATACCAAATGGCTGTGTGCGAAAGGCTCCAGGCAGATGCCGTCGGGCTCTTCGGTCACACACTATCTATTCTTTCTCAAGTACCCCAAGAAGAACTAGCTTCCTACGGCGTGGGCAGCCAGAAAGTGTCAACTGTCTGCACACTCTCAGCAGTACATAAGACCCAATCAAACATAACCTATCCCCCTCAACTCTGCTTCTTTGTCTTCACCTTCTGATACTAATATTAAGTCTCTTACACCTTCTTCAACCTCTCATCTTGTGGCCATTCCAAACGATCAAAGCCATCGAAACCTCATTCCTAGTCTTCTTAGAACCCACCATCAATTTAATGTTCGAGCTTTCAACGTCCCAACTCTATACCAAATGAGACAGCAAGCATCGCTCTCCAGAACTGTGAAATCTCTAGTCATGGGTGTATGCTGTGCATCTGAGACATGTGTACAGGATCCGAGTGTAGTTATTAATTAACCTCACCTAACCAGTGTGGTGAATCTTCAGAGTTCACCTGACGAGTATCCAGAGGCCCGATGGCTAGCTCTTTGTGGACTCGGCGGTATAGACATAGCACTGAGTTTGAGTGTAGAAAGTGCGTTTCTTGACTTGATACCAGTCAAGAGTTGTTTGTGTTGTTTGACTGAATAGATCTGTACGAACTAGGAAGGATCGTGAGACTAGGCGATGCTCATTCATAATCTTCTCCAATGCACCCAGCGACTGTAGTTCGGATGATGCAAATGATGAATTCTGCGAGCTGTGAATTTTGCTACAGAAATCATAATGTTCAGATGTTGTCACGATGCCAGGTGACTTTAACGCTCAAATAGAGCTAAACCAGTGAGAACGGCAGGCATCTTGATGGTATTTGGGGAATCGCATGTGAATGAACCGACAACAGTGATCGTCTGTTGAAATTTTGTCCTGACAATGAATTGTTTCTGGCCAGCACTAACTGTAGGCATAAGGAGAGACATTGTCTGATATGGTGTCCGGCAACTTCAAATCAACGATGGACACAGATAGATCATATTGCGTAAGCCGTGGGTGGAGGATTGTAGCTCTTTTTAGAGTACCAGTTTGAACTTCGATCACGCGCTAGTACGGTCTTGTATACATCCGCGCTCCACTGGTCGCAGGAAACAGACAATAGTAGAACCTATGGTTGGTTGGAAGATGAGGACGCCAAATATGTATTTATGGAAGAGTTAGCTAAAAATCCTGAGGAAACCTGGCGTGATATTGAGTCTGCTATTAAAACAGCTGTAAATGCATTTGGCAACCTGCACCCGAAGGTTTGTAAATCTCATTGGATTTCCGCGACGTCATCCAAACTGATTGTTGCGAGAAGACTGATTCCAACTGGCTCTTATAATGATGAATGGCGAAAGTAACTCAAACACAAATTGACCACGTTTTCGCGCCGATTGCGCTTAGCGGTGAGTGGCCAAGTAGAAAGAGATAGAGAAGACATCAGCAGTGAGTAACACTCGGCAACTATTTAGGCTTATTAACGATACCAGCAGGAAAAACACGATGTTGGCTGAAACCTTCACCGAAAAGGATGGAAATCCGATAACTTCTCAGGATAGGTGGCTAGAACATTTCTCAGAACACTTTAAAGAACAGTTCAACTGGCCTTCAGCTACGCTTTAGTGACCCAGTATCCAGCCGAAACCCGAATGAGGCGTAGATGTCGTTCCTCCAACTCTCCTTGTAGCTGAGAAAGCTGTGTCAAACCAGAAATGACGCAGAGCAGCAGAACACGACAGTTTGTCACCTGGAGTTTTCAAGGATGTAGATAGGAAATTGCTGCTTAGGATAACGGAGGTGCTAGATAGTGTATGGGAATCAAAGACAGTGCCATCAGACTGGCCTACTCCACCGATCATCCCAGTCTATAAGAAGGGAGAGAAATCTTATGACAACCATATGGGAGGGAATTAGTTTGACTAATTTTGTGTCCATGATTCTAGGGTCCATAGTTATTTGAAGTCTAACTGGAGCTTGAAAACACCAAACTCGAGAGAACCAGGCAGGTTTCAGACCTGGTTGAGGGCACATCGATCATATTTTCACCCTCCGACAGGTTTTAAAACACAGGCATACCTACTGGCCAGTGTCTGACACGCGATATTTCTTGACCTGAAGGCGGTGGTATCTGACTTAGTCGACCATGAGGTGTTGTGATTGTATCTGACTGTGAAAGGAGTACCGAGCAAGTGCTTAACGCTAACCAAAGCTCTCTACTCGAACTCATGCAGCCGCGTCAGGGTTTATTAAGAGTTGTCTTCAGAATTGACGACAACTTATGGTATCCACCAGCGTAAGGGATGTCCATTGTCTTTGTTCCTATGTAACTTCGTCATAGACATACTAATGGACATAAGCTTAGATACGTCTGATTTCACAGGGATCGACTTACTCCCTGGAGACCATCTGGTTAACTTGGAGGATGATATTGTCGTTTTTGTTAAAATGCTGATGCAATGCAAGGTCTTGTGAACTCGTTGAATAGAAATCTGAGTATGTTTGGCATGTGTTTTACTGGAATCTGTCAAATGTAACGTGATGCTCCAGGACTAGTCTGTTGCTGGTCTGCCAGTTTAGTGGTAGAGAGTAAAGTGGTGAAATGTGTCGACCACTTCACTTACTTGGAAAGTTGCATCAGCCCAAATGAGTTGGTTGCTGACAAAACTTCGGTTTGGGTAGAGAAGGCCTGGTTGGCATTTTTAAACTTGCGTCACCCGTGGTACTCATTGGCAGGATATCCGACCATCTATCGAAGGACGAGTATACTGCGTCGTAGTCAGTTCTGTCCCGTTGTACGGTTGTGAGTCGTATCGGTTAAAAGTAGGAGATACGAAGCGGTTACAGGGTTTTAATCACATATGTCTTCGTAGTATTGCTCTTGTTTGATGGAATCACCGTGTGACGAATGTTAAGGTCAGGAGAAGGGTACTAGACAAGACAGGTGAGTCGACTAGTGAGGTTGTGAACCTTCATGGGCTGAGATGGCTTGGACATATACTGCGGATGCCGATCCCCCGCCTACCTCTAAGTCCTATACTAGGTGGAGGTTGAATTAGATTGGAACAGGGTTCAGGGTGGTCAGACCAAAAGGTGGCATGATTCGATGAAATCTCTTACTGTTGGTCTGGGTTGTGTGGGAGATGTAGACTGTTTGACTGGGATCCCGGGACGATAGGAACCAATAGTTGAAAACTTAGTGAAAGGGGGAAAATCGGTCGCAGTGGAGCAGATGTATTCGCCCCTTTACGCCTTCTAAAGCGTAAATATTCGCACTAACATCAAATTGCTTATTGTCTCACACAACTTTATCGACTTTGATATCAGTCATTTTCTTTGTATACTACTGTGAAGTGTGGCAACTTGAGGTGATGCACCTGTGTGCAAGGTTCTATGTTGATTCTTTATGTCTGACTTGCGTCGTGTTTGACGCCGGCGAGGTATCTGACTACATGTTAAAGGGTGAGTATACTGCTCCACAGTCTTATTTTACGGCCATCAGACATGGCGGTCGAAAGCAGAAAATATGAAGAAGTTATAGGTATTTGATTAAATGTGTCTTCATGGCATTGGCCACTCATGTTCGTTCGAACCACTGTGTGAGTAATGTCGAGGTCAGGTGAAGGTTACTAGGCAAGTTAGTTGATAAGGTTGTTCACCTTCACCGACTGAGGCGTTTTGAACGTGTTGCACGTGTCGAGCAGCCACCTACCTCGATGCACGTCAGTAGTTGAAGTAAAATAGAGTTCGGAGAAGGCTTCGGGTAGTCAAACTAAGAAGTGGCTCCTATCCATTGACTGTTGAGGGTCGTAAACTCCATGACTGATCTGGAGATTATAGGAACCGATGTTTTGGCACTTGATGTGCCTAAAAATCAGTTACAATTGCTCTGTTGTGTTCACTGTATCAGCTTCAGAGTCTTCGACTTTAGTTAATCCTTATCTGTTTATTTTCTTTCCTCTCATACACATTTACCTACCTGTTCCCGTTCACTTCTTCCTTGCATGGTACTGTGAAGTGTACTGACCTGATCCAGTATACTTTTGTGCAAGATTCTACATCGATTTGTTTGTCTATCACTACCAAGACGATTTGGCACTTTTGAAAGTTACATTGATTTTAATAGGTTTCGAGGTTCTCATTCCGCCAAGCTCCAACCTTTGTCAGCATTCAGTTACTGGTCTGTATATGACATTAGGATTGCTGTAGCAGGAGTTATGAATTCATGACCATATAACACGATTTCTAGAAAACGAGTGGGATCATTTCATCCTGGATGCTGTAATGGAAAAATGGATGTAAGTCATTTTCGTTGTGTAGGTCGGTGTACTAACGTGCGAGCTGCGGTGTGTATAGGTTTATTATACTACCTAGTTTCCCTGGCTGAATTGGGGATAGTGGAAGTTATTGCTCGAAACAGTCAACCGCAGCCTGACAAATCAAGCTACGAAAATACTGCTTAGCTGCTCAAACCTCGGTAGATTGTTAAGAATTCAAACCTTTGACTAACTGAGTAAAGGTCAAATACTCAGGCCAGTGAATCACAATCCGACACTTCTTCTAATTAGTTTAGTTATCAGCAAACGTGTATTCAGTATATCGCATAGGTTTATATACAAACCGTTATTATCTGTCAAGTTTATAACACCTCTTTGCATTTCCTTTTTTTTCCTCTGTAGCCACCTGAAAGACTACGAGTTTTTCTACTAGTGATTTTCACACTGACTTTAATACCACTGTGTTTGGTGTCAAAAGTACAAAATCTTCTCAGATTGAATGTTTTTACCAGCCTATTTTATGGAGTGGTAACTTTCCATGTAAGTGTTTCAATAATTGATGTTGAGTTTGAAGATGGTGATAACCATATTATGTCACATATGAAATAACTCTAAATATTTTCTGAATTCTCGGAAGCTAGAGTTAAACTTATTACTGCATTCAGTGAATTCGGTTATAGCCTTTAATACTTGCGTATCCTATAAAATGCTAAACTACGTGAAAATAGGCTAATGTTCAACTTTTTCGGCTAAATGTACTTCAGTAGCTGGATGATAAATAGCATCCTGTTTTTCAGGATCTAGATCTAATTTAGATGTTCTGCACAACTTTTTATATTCGTTTGGTATTCAATTTAATCCTGGAGTTTTCTGCCGTGCACATGTATATTTCAGGTTAAAGTGAGTCTTTTGATTACAACTCGTGTGTATATGTGTGCTCGGGAGGGGCGGGGAGGGGGGTCACTGGAATGAAATGACATCTGGTTAACTACACAATAAACTGAATGACTGGAATATGCTGCTGAACAACTTTGGCATTTAGAAACAACTCAAGTTGATCTGTAAATATCCCCAACTAGGTCAGAGTGATGTGAGCACAGCACGGCCGTTTCGCTAGTTTGGGACCGGGCTCATCAGTGGTGTGCCCGGACAAAATTACCTCACAGCCGAATTAGTTCATATCACCTGAATCTGAACTGTGCAATTCCTAAATCATTCGCATTTAAGATATACTAGTCGATGTAAATCAAGTACCCAGATATATTCAGGTGATATAAACTAATTCGGCTGAGGTGATTTTGTCCGGTTACACCACTGATGAGCTTGGTCCCAAACTAGCGAAACGGTCGTGCTGTGCTCACATCACTGATCTATTTGGGGATAACTACAGATCAGCCTGAGTGATTTCTAACTACTCAAGTTGTTTGGTAATAGCTTCTGTTTCTAGTTAACGACACTTGTGTCAGAAATCACACCTTGTGATCTTGACTGTGTGGCGTCCAACGGAAACCTTGTTGAGACCACAGTTGGGTAGTTGAAAAACTACTCAGCTGTGGGGAATGTCAAGGAGTCGTGCAATTTGTAAATCATTTGCAAATCGGTCATCCTATAACTGACTGGAGTGCTAATATGAGCGAACGCTGATTATCTTCAAGGCTGAGATAGCTAAGTCACCTTAGAGCATGGCATAAAATTGCATCAGTTAAACTTTCCATATTTGATAGCAGTATACAATAACAAGTGAATCTAAAAAGGAATGATACTAAAGTGGGCAAAGTGTATAAGAGGAGATGTGGTTCACTGGCTTAGGAATTTGACTCCCAAGCAACGAGTTCTGGGTACGAACCCCATTCCGCTTCGTTCTGAGCAGCTGGATAAGTCTTCATAACACTCAATAAGTGTGGCTTATAGCCTAGTTCATAACCTTTTACTGGAGTTGAGCTACATCATAGGAAAGGAAATAAATCGCTGAAAACTAGTGAAAATGCTCAAAATTACACCATTGTGACCGTTTTTGTAGTTAAATCCCAAACTGGATAAATATGAAAAAATGTCTAACTATTATCTCACTGACTGTGTATTTGTTATCCAACAGAATTCCAAACTCATGGATCTAAGATCATGAATGAAATAAGAAAGTCATTTATATGTGTAGGTTTAATAAACAACATGTGACCAATATACACTAATTAGAATCTGGCCTTCAAAAAACAGAGTCAACCACTAGTACTGTCAAGGTTAACTTGAAGCTAATATTTCTTTACCAAACAGGTATAAGCCTATATATAGCTTTATCCACCCTGACAGTTAGTCAAGTTAAATAACATCAGTATTTGTTTTAATGTTTGGTAAATTGAATATTTCATTCAGTGATTTGAGAAATTCTATGTAATTCGCACTGAAACCGATCAAGTTTTTTTTACCAATCGTGTTCAATAAACTGATAATATTGTCTGATACGGTAACAAAAAGCTCCATGCTTTGTAAAATTCTAGCACATTCTAGACGTGTTTTATTCACATGGTTTGTTGAAGCCGATTGTCGTGCATCTAATCTCATTCCGTTTGGCTTATCGGTATCTAAACTTTTACACATAAACCACAACATTGACGTTGTTGCTTTTGGTATACGGTGTATTTATAACTCATCAGTCATTGACAGTCCCTGCATGCATTCAGTAGTTTGCTGAAATTACTCAGGAAAAATCTAATAGTTTAAAAACGAATGATCATTACAGTCAGATTGTGAAAATGTCCAGTAAAGGTGGACGTTACAAGAAGGCCTTAGATAATGTGACCATTGTTACCTCTCTAGCATCGCTCATTTCCGGTGGAAACGCTTTATGAGCAGTTTACTTCTTGCATATAGAGTATCAAGCAAGGCAGACAAGTCAATAGACGAGATTGTGAACCTTGATCGATTAATATGTCTTGAAGACATGTGTTATGCTTGACTAACGACCGTTTACCTTAAGTCGTGGAAAAAGATAAGGGTGGCCATACCAAGACAGCGTGTTGGTTTATGGAGTCCTTGACTTTTGACCTAAGAAGTCTAGGAAAGTGTGCTTGTCATTGTCGGGAGTAGAGCTGTGGCTCAATGGTTTAGAGAGATTACCGTCAACCAGTGGGTCACGGGTCCGAACCCTCCCCCATCTACCATGGTTTGCGCAGCCAGGTAGTATCACTAGCCCTCACACAATAGGTGTGGCTCATTGCCTACTACATGGATGTGCGCAAGGCGACTGATTATGTTTTGGTTCGTTCGTTTTGTTGTCGGGAGTTCATAAGGTAACTGAGATTGATAATGAAAAGCTCTAAGGGGTATAAAACCAAATAAGTCACACTGACGCAAATGCATACATACTTAATCTTCCTTTTAATATCATATATCTTCTGGTATGCATGCTAATCCTTCGTTTGTTTGTGTCTTGCATAAAAATACATTATATCTAGATGATCTTTGTACTTGGCTTGCCTCGATTAATTTCGAATATGCCTTGGGGACAAATGAATTGGTGGCAGCCAGATGGTTTAATTGAATGTATTCCTATATTCTTGGCTTCAATGTTTTGTCAGACGTAAGTTTTCAAATTCATTAGTTATTCGTTATTAAAGAAGCCTTGCACTGTACTTGCTTTTATGAAATAGCTGTAAATGGAATCTATGATGTATGATTCTTATTTCACCACATTCATAAACAAACCGTCATTTCGACAGTTGTATTCTAGTAATTGTAACAGTGTACTCGTTTTAAGATAACAAAGTTAATTGATTAAAACTGTATTAGTTTTCGTTGCTCACCTCTTTGGCAATCAGTGTTTGTTACTGTTGAGATTTGCTGATAACTGATTGTTGATGTAAATGAAAGGGTTGACCTTGACTAAGCTCCCACTCTCGGTATTTTTCTCTTGTAATATTTTATAATATATTAGAATTCTGAAGGTAACTTTTGTCGCACTCACTACCCTATCATCTTAATGTACTTTATTTCCTATAAATATTGTTCAGTCGAACTTAGAATGTACTGTATGTGACACTGGTAGAAATAGGTAGTTATAAAACACTCATATCAATCAGCAGTACTTGTGAACTAGATCAAAGTGATCTAAATGTTTTAGGGGTCAGCTTTATCAAGGTCATACCTGATCAGCTTTTAACGAGCCATCTGACTAACCTATTTATGTTTGATGTGTTTAATCTTAACCAGTAAAAATCGGTTTTTTTTCATATCTCTTATTCTTCAGACAACTTCATGTCACGTCTACAAATTCTTATCAACCAACTCCGTCTAGCATGAGACTAGTAGTTCGTGTAGCACTAGCTACAGTTGCTGTTGCTTATGGATTTGTAAGTTATAGTCCATTCTACTTTGCATATTTACGATTTCATTATAATTGCAACTGAACTGTATCGATGTCTCACAACTATCGCTGGATACATACATCAATTAGATATTTGGTTACCTCTTATACAGATATATATATATATATATATATATATATATATATATATATATATATATATATATATATACTCGTCTTTAATCAGTTGATCGTGTCCAATAAAAAACGTTGACCAAAGACTGAAGTCACATTCTTGTCTAGTTCATGATATTCTGAATACCCTTTTGTTTGCATATACAAATAACGAAACTTACACAGTAACATCATTATTAATCAGTGGTGTATTCATCTTTGAGGAATGTCGTTTAGTTATTTCTGCTTGCTAACGAAAACAACGATCAAATTATTTTGTCATAATGTGTCAAAATAGCCTTTTCTTTGTGAACATACAAAGTGAATACTTAAGTTTCAATGAAAATCTCATCTTTTCAACACAAATCCCCAAAAACGTTTTTTCTTATAACCTAACTGTTTTCAATAAAGAAGAAAATTGAAGTACAGAGAGATTTTCTCTTTGCAAATTGGTACTGGGTAATGGTTGAACATGAAATGAAAATTTGGATCGTGGCAGGATTTGAACCGGTGACCACCGTGTTACCGGCCCGTTGCTCTAAAAACTGAGCTACGAGGTCCGATTGTTGACCAGATTTTTATTTCACTTCAATCACCATGAGTTTTGTCCGACTACCATGTGAATTCGTGATACATTACTGCCGCTTGATCATACACTGGCTGCCCAGTCAGGACTCCTCATCCCAATTCAAATCTGAGTGAATTTGCTAAATGACAAAGCTTTATAAAAGTGGAGGAAAAAACGGTCATGAATATTTTATTTTGTTCTACATTCACTGAAAAGTAATTAGTGGTCATACTGTCTAACCTGTAGGACTTACTAATTTTTTTCAATCTTGTTTGTGATATCATGGTCCTCTGTTTTCAGTGTAACATGGTTAGAAATAATCAGCAGAAAAACCTTGTGCCGTCGTTGGTTGGACCGAAGTGATCGGTTTCTGTTGGCATACGGGGAAATGCCAGTAAAAACATTAAAATTATGCCCGTCGCACAAGAAGTTGGCTGTCGTGACTCACTGGTGTAGTGGGTAACGCTTTGGCGTTCGGAGCGATCGGCTCCGAGCTCGAGTCGTAGTGGGAACAACACCGCTCACTTGGAGGTAGGTACGTCTGGCTGACGAGTCCCAGATGGGAAGAAGCGCGTGCTCTGGATTTCACTGCTATCCTCCATTAGTCACTTATACAGAAACGCCTTTGATATCGAGTTGGTGCTTTTGGGGCACTGGCTATCAGGATGCACGTTTAACGTCAAGGTTTCGTCTTTCTCAGAGACTGTAAGGCCACATCCCTCCACTATTGCAATCATAGATATCATTGAGCTACCCAGGTTCCAGTGTAAGTTATGTAAGTGAACTGTGAAATAAGGTTGTTTGCTAACAAAGCTTTCGTTGGCATGAGTTATGTTCAGTATGCCACCATTGGTTACCAAATGATAACCGATGTAGCTGTTAGTTACTTTATGCTAATCGAAGTGTATCGACTTAGTTTGTGATGTAATGGTTAATCTGAATGGCACTACATTATGGTGCAATGTATCTCTTGTTTAGTTTTGAGGTTAACATCAAACAATTAAATAATGGTGGTTTGGTATTCTCTGAATTTCCAGACAAAATAAAAGATTTAAGGATAAGCAATGATGAAAAGATGATATCTTGATGTGACTTCATGCTTCACTTCAATTGACTCAAATTGGAGACGATGAATATTCTTCTGAAGAACAACCAAACCCTTTCTGACTATAAGAAGATCACGGTTCCTAACCTATTGGAATTGATCGAGCTATGTCTCACGACCTATTTGCAATTCAATGGGAAGATTTAAAAATAAACAAAAGGGACATCCATGGGGTCGCCAATAAATCAAGATTAAATGATACAGCTGTGACACAACGACTAAAATCAATAGTCATCCCTGTCACCAAACCAAAAGTTCCGATTCGGTACGTTGACGATACATAATTCTCAAGGTAGATGAAACAGAAAACACGTTCAAACTAATCAACTAAACCTTAGAAGGAGTACACTTCACAAAGGAGGTGGAATCCAATGAAAAAATTCCATCCTTAGATGTGCTCATCAACAGAACACACGACGGGTTTTTACAAACTTAAGTATACAGGAAAACGATACACAGATCAAATATTAAACTATAACAGTTCATAAGAAATGTTGTGTACAAACATTATTCCCAAGAGCCAAAACACATTGCAGCACTGAAGCACTACAGAAAGCCGAAGAAAATTACCTGTACAGTGTTCAAAATCTATGATTATCCACCCAACTTTATCAAAAAGTATTTATCAGCAGAACAGAAGACTGGGCAACTGCCTCAAATCAATAGGCTCGTTACACTACGTCAAAGATATCTCAGAAACAGTCAACCGATTGCTTTGTCCTTTCGGAATCAAAGTAACACAAACCAACGAAATCACTACACAGTATGTTGTGCAAACCAAAAGAAGACAGGGCAAATATCTGCAAAATCAATTGCAAAAATTATTCACAGCATTATGTTGGTCAGTTTAGCCGTCGGATTGGCCCAAGAATTTATGAATACCAACTAGCAGTATATCAACATTACGCCGCCTCATTGGTTTCAATGCATGCAGACAATCATGATCATAGATTTGATTGAGAAAATGTGGAAACCCTCCTAAGAGCAAGTTTGAAACCTGCAATAGAATTCCTAGAAGCATAGCATTTAAACAAAATATCAATCAACAGATATGTGGATATAGACCCAATTTACAACCTACTTAGGGAGAAAACAGTCATGCATCAACTAAGGGCAAATTGACGCATAGTTTGACAACAACAAACAGCACAATTTCACTTCAACATAGAATATCTAATTATGTGAATGAAAGAAATTGAAGGTCAAAGAGGTCAGGGTGAGATAAAAAATTTCTACCCGAAGTTACAATTAGACAACATCCAAAGTCAATAAAAACACAATCTAAACATTCGTGTAATATTCAATTATGCTTCACTTCTTTATGTAGTTATTACTGAAGATATCATCAAGCCTAATGATGAAACGTTCACGACAAAATATCAAAGCTCAATGAACACCAAACTGCCATCGTCCTCATCCTGAGCTACAAATCTTTTCCATCATTTTGAATTAAATAACTAACAATTTAATAATAATAATAATGGCTACTTCGGGAATACTCTACAGAATTTGCAGCAGGTTATATAGTGTCAGTTGGACATAACTAGTGTACCTATACACATACCAAAATGAAGTCTAAGTATAAAGTACATATAAAAAAGATAAGAATATTCACTCTATCTACAACTTTCTTGAAAATGTGCAGCTAATTTAGGTAGACAGTCACATTAGTAGTAAATGGATTCATAATAATAATAGTAACATACTGTGTCACTCATCAGTTAGTTTGTTTTATGAAACAGAAGTTGATTACTTAGTTCATTTCTAATACTTTCTTCATCTTACAGGAGACGAGCTAAATACGGTTTTGTAGAGTTTTTATATTTGGTAGTATGTGCATAAAGTCTTCTGCACTCGCTCCCTGTCTTTCCAGATGACCGACACGCAGAGAGCTTTCAGTGAAGAGGATGCTAGTTATCTGATAAAATAACTCCTGCCAAGAGTTTACATGAGTTAAGATTTTTGTCCACAAGAGTTTCAATTAAAAGATTTAAGGTACACCACTAGTTCTGCTGACAGTCATCAAAGTTCTACAAAATACAGCAACCCAGGAAAGAATAAAGTGAAACAGTTGGAGAGAACAAGTAATATTCAAGAGTTTATAAAACACAGATGAGAGACTGAGTTATACCAGGTACTCTTAGCTTCCCTATATAGAAAGTTAAGTGGAAAATACTTTTTGAATTATTACGATATAGGAGGACCGAAGAGAACCCAGCACACGTTATGAATTAGAACAAGACATATAAACGATAAACCGGGTTTAGTCAAATGTCTGAATAACAGAGCTAGGAAACTCACTAGTCATTGTAAGGACTTAAAAAGGAATTGAAACACATAAAAGAAGGGTTAATAATTATCCCCATCATTTTATTAAGAAATTCACACGGACACATAGAAGCAAAATAATAACACTAATACAAATACAAATAATAGCGACAACATAAGTAGAAACGAAATCAACACCTCTATTGTGATACCATATAAAGAAGGAACATCAGAAAGCGTACGTAGGATTCTCAACAAGTTGGAATTAGGGTGGCATCCAAACCAACAAACTCACTTAGAGGTAAGCTTTGTCGGCTAAAAGATCCAATAGAACCATTTAGGCAAAATAATATAATCTACCAAATTCCATGTAATGACCGTGAGGTCAAATACATAGGTCAAACTAGCCGGTCGGGGTCAGTTAGATTAACAGAACATAGGAATTTAGCTAAACATAGAACGACAGACCCCAATAAGATCAATAATCTAGAAAAACACTCGGCCATTGCATTACATTCATTAACACACAACCACACAATAGGGTGGAACAAAACCACTGTACTTAAGTCTAATATAGCTAGGTGGAGAGAGAGATTAATTACTGAATCTTTGTTCATTGAATCCACACCCAACACATGTAATGGGAATGACGCAACACCTATACCAGAGATATGGAAAACTTTACTGCCAATAAAAAAAACAAAGAGAGATCAGGTGACAGGACTATAAAATCAGATATCGAAAGAAGTGTGATTACGTTGATATGGTTATGAGCAATAACTTATGCTCGAAAAGTAATCAAGTAAATAATACTGTATCACTGTGCCCTATATATCAAATAAACAAATCTAATATGGAATTACTTTTTGAAATTATTAAGATATAGGAGGACCGAAGAGAACCCAGCACACATTATGAATTAGAACAAGCGATAAACAACTTTATCATAGAAATTTTTTCCTACCCCTACCATATAATCACTATATTTGCCTAGACTTTGTTTATCTGCTTATCTCGTCCTTCAGTGTTACGTAACTTTTATGTTTCCAAGCTTTGACCCACTTTGATCATTGGAGTGTCTACATTTTCATGCTGTTTTCATAATTCTTATTATCTATATTGTCATGTGCTTTAGTCAACGTTGTCATTTTTGTTATTTGTATTATTATCACCATCGTTATTTTAAAACATTTATCACATTAACTGATAAATCTACATGACTGGTTAACGTTTTATGTAGATTTAGCTATTTCTATTAGAGTAAAGCCTGAAGAGGATCTAACTGAAAACACTAATGTTCGCTTATATGTCTTGTTCTAATTTACATTATGAGTTACACATCCCCTAAATTATTTCATCACTAATTTATAGCTATAATTATGAAGTTGTGGTTCATTGTTTTAGGGAGTTGACTTTCAACCAGTGGGTTCCGGGTTCAAATCGTGTTTCACCTGCCGAGGTGTGGGCAGCCAGGTAGTATCATCAACCCTCACACAGCAGATGTGACTCATTGCCTACTGCACAAATTTGCACAAGGTTGCTGAGTGGATTTATATATATTTTTAGATAGATATAATTCTGTTCAAAGTAATTTTTTTCTTTATCTACTCCTTTTTCATATAGTTTGGATTCTTCGGGTATGCTGCATTCTTCAGTTCTAATAACTCCAAAAGGATAACATTTTCTGGCAATGTATTTCTGATGTATCCTGATGATTTTCGCAGTTTTTGTATACGTGTTGGCTTCCTTCTGACAAATATTGTCTCCATACCTCTGATTATATTCCCATTACGACAATCTGTATATAATTTATTCTATCGTAAGGTGAGTGTGTGTATGTGTGTCTTTGCGAATGACTAGTATTGACCAAATCTTGGAGTAATCTAATGCCAATCAAAGCAGACAACACCTTACAACTCATCTTCCGGTTAAGGTTGTTTATATCCTGAGTTATGTGAGCCACACTTACTATATGAGTTTATGAAAACTACCTGGTTGCCTGAGTTGAAGTAAAATAGGTGGAGCTGGTTTTCAACCAAAGACCCATTACTTGAAAGTCCAATGCTCAAATGAAAGAATTACAGTTATGTTACCTATTCAGTAAACCAAGACGCTGATTTCTCTAGTTTGCTAATTTCATAACTCATCAATTCAGAGATGTCAGCATAACTGATCAGTTAGTCAGTATGGAAAAAAGATCTCACTTACAACTAAGTAAATAATCTGATATGGATATTGATTATATCTTGTGTAAGTTTGTGGTAAATATACATGCCAAGTCTGATATCCTCTAATCTACTTCCTAAAACATATCATCCTTTTAATAGTCCTCTTGTAATGTAGGTGCTTCAATAAGTGAATCGCTGAAGTAGAACTTGAGGAACAGACATCATTTCGTTATTTGACAAGTGCAAATCTATAGTTAACCTGTTGCATGAAAACGTCTTATGAGAGTTTCATATTTATTCAAATTAATTTATTGGAAACTTTTTCATTGTTTGGCACGTAAAAGACAAGACAGGAAATGGGAGAGATACCCAACTGTGGCTAGTTCTCAAGGTTCGAACTTCAACCGCACCTGTTACCTTGTTGTAGTCTTCGAAATCACCTGCTTTTACCATCGATCCAATGTATATTGGCTAGAATGCTTTTTCTTTTCCAGTGTCCCGTCATTCCAGGAGGATCAAAGGCAGTTGATTTACCGATGAGAATAATTTTAGGCTCTATCGTGAGACCACATTTGACTGCACTGAAGTATAACAACAGCTAGGTGGTTCCCCAGGATCACCCGTATCCTAAGTGGTATTGCTTTCCTGTTGCCAAAAAGAGAGTTGGAAAAGGTTGGTAATCAAAATAGCACACCTCACCCACCCCCCCCTTACGAACTTATTGTACTAACGGTAAGGTTTGTTAAAGTGTTGATCCCATTCATCTAAATCAACTACTGAAAAGGTTGTATGCAATTGGTCTTGAGCAAATATCACTTCATTACTACGGTCACCATTCTATATATAAGATGATAACTAGTCCTATATCTTCTCCAGCTACTTTAAGAAGTAGTCTCATACGGTGGTGAAAGCATGGGAATATCTGCCCTTTATACTTCTTCAAGAAAACTCCAGTACCTTCTGATCAACAGTAGTCGTAATCCTCGATTTCTTCTAAATCTCTTTGATCTCATCTTCATAACTTCCATATTTCCACTTCCTTCCATTAATTCAGACAGTGCCAACGATTCGAGTTTGTAAAGTAGCACTACTGGTAAAGTTTTAGTTCATTGATTTCTATAGTCAACCTCTGACTAGTAGGTCACCAATTCCAAACCCTCTTCACCTACTGCTACTTAGCAGTCGGATTGAACCACAACTCACACATTCAATATAGCTCATGACTTGCACATACAAGTCTATTTGAAACTTCTAAATTACAAGTAAATAAGCGTAACTCGCTTATATAGTAAACCGTTAGCGATTAGGCTAATCTTCAATGGAAGTGTGTGTGTGTGCGTCCAGGCCACATCTGATATCAGTAATAATCGGTAGTGCACAAGAAATTGTAGTAAAGCGGATGTCTTGTAATTCGATTGAATGTCCTACAGTACAGTGACTGGTCAAACAGACAATCTGATCCACAATTAGCATTATTAATTGAGTTTTTCATGAGTTAATTCATCATGTTTCCTTCTTGTCACTTTTGGTAATAACCAAACAAGTGTTTACAAAATTCACATTTGATCATGAGAATTACAAAACCATGTTTTTATTATTCAAAACAAGAAGACTAATTGTATAATAATGATGGATAGTGGCTAACAGAGGAATCCAGAACACGCATTTCGTCCTATCTGGGATTCGTCAGCTGGATGTACTTACCTCCGAAACTGACTGTTTCAAATGCCAAAGCGTTATCCACCAGACCACCGAGTTACGATAGCCATTTCTTGGAGATGGGTATAGATCACTCGGTGGTCTAGTGGATAACTCCTTGGCGTTTGAAGCGATCGAGTTCGAGTCCTAGTGTGAACAGCATCACTCACTGAGAGACAGGTACATCAACTGACGAATCCCAAACACGAAGAAACATATGTTCTGGATTCCTTCCATTGCTATCAACTATCCATCATTAATGTGCAATTCAAACACAGGCACTATCTAGGCATCGGCACAGGAGCCCGAATTCCAACGACGGGATTCTACAAGCAACAACATTAAGAAGATTCATTTGTTAGGCAGCGCTAATGGCATCAAAACATGCAATTATTTGTGGTTGGAGATCGCTAAAGATAATCGAACAACTATCAACAGCAAATCTAATTAGCTACTTTGTTGGTAAGCTGGCTGTCAAATGAATAAAACACTAGCTCAAAGCCAATATTATATCAACCTAACAACTATTAGTTGTGGTTAGGGCGTCACAATTATACGTTTTACATAACCCTGATGTCTTAGCCCATATTATCTTCGTGCCACTAACCGTGTTTCATGGAGCCACAACATCAGTAGTGCAGAAGTCAGGTGTAGAGTTTCAGGTAAAACAGTTGATTTGTTTTGAAACGTTCATCGACTCGTGTAGCTGGGACATGTGTTACAAATGCCTAGTCATCATCTCCCCCTACATGTATTGTTAACCGAAGTAGTTTTAGACTAGTAAAAGATTCAAGGCACCCAAACTAAAATGTGGTATCAATTCATGAAGGACTTGACTGTTGATCTGAGCTGTGTAGAGAAATATAGACTTCCTAGTTAAGGTCCACATGACAACCGGAATCGATGGTTGGAAACTTTAGGTGATATGACTTCTATCACATTTTGCTATTATTCTCCCCTTTCTCCTATGACCTCTTTTTCTATTTCTGTATCTTTTAGCTTACTGTCTTGTATTTTAATGTAAGATGTAGCAAGTTGAACCCATCGCACAATAGTATCAGATTCTATGTTGATATTGACTGACTGATTTTTATTGAAAGCCACATATTTCCCTTAAAGAAAAAACATTCTATGCTATATAATTTTATTGATGATTATTTTATTTCAAGAATTTCACTTTAACTTCTGTTGATGTGGAAATGGATTCATCTCTTCTCGTTTCTGACGAAATTCCGCGTAGATATTTTCAAAAGATAACTATTGCAATACTTTTGATATCATTCCTCCTCAGTTTAACAACAGATAAAAGTAAGTTATTGTTTCATTTATTTGCTTGCCATAATGAACTGAATAACAATTTGTTTTGAGCACTAAAACATTTTCTGTTGTCAGTGTCAATGTTGGTATGATTATTGTTTTTAACAGTTTTCTGGTGAAAATTAATTTCGTTGAAATAAACATGAAAATCATAGTAATAGTTTTCCTTTATCCAGTCATTAACAACTTGATTTATGGACATAAAAAAACAACTTAAAACCTGGAATTACTGCGTAATGGTTCAAGTTACTGCAACTTATATCAGCTCATCAAGCGAAAAAAACACTAAAATGAAAGATAAAGGAGGCAGTCAAAAGTGGTAGTGAGTCGTTAGAAGAGAACAAGAAGAAAGAAGACAATAATTGAATTTGATATGAAAATTAAAATGAAGATAATGTCTGAACACATCTATCCAATTATAACCAATTCTGAAACTTGTTACTTAGATTCTCTAACCACTGATTTCTGCCGTCACCCAGAACCCAACCGGAAGTCTACATTTCCCTTTACGGCTTAAACCAACAGTCGAAGACTTTATACAATGATGTCATGTTTTATTCTGACCACCCCTAACCTTTTCCCAGCCTGAACCTGCTCCACCTAACATTGTCCGGTGAGGTAGATGTTAATTATGCATACGTAACACATATCCCAGCCACCACAATTGATGATAGTTCACAAGTTCATCCGCTTATGTCTAAAACTCTACACCCGATTTCTACGTTACTAACATGATGATGGATGAGATCAAGGAAAGTTTGTATTGGGTCAGCATCTGTTGGTGCATCACGACTCTCTGTGTTGGATCTGAGAGATCACGCAACTCAGTGGCTTAAGACGTTATCAGATATAGCTCAGAATCGAAACCAGTGGCAGTCATGCTGTAGCTTCCTCCTATCTTCTGCTGCTGAAAAGTAATGAATGTTTTGTTTCGACTGTACTTTGCTTAACTGCCGTTTTAATCATTCTATTCTCATTGTTTTTTTTATTTTCATCCACTTCTCTTAGCTTTATGTCTTCAAAATAGTGTTATATTATTTTGTGTAGCTCATTTCTTGGTACCCTCTCTGTACCACTTTTGTGCTCTAATAATAAATAAGTAATAAACAAGATCGTACGATAGATGGCGTATACTGTTTAGGCAACGGTGATTGAATACTTGAAACCGCTTCGTGTCCTCTACCTTTAAAGACCATGTTTCACAGCTATATAGTAGAAAAGAGCGAACTGCAGTGCAATACACTCGGTCCTTAATTGACAATCGGTTATCATGGTGGTGTTGTAAATGGCGTAAGTCGGCGAGCCTTTTATACCCGCACGGATATTTCATCGATGATTGACCCACCAGGGCTGATCCAACTTACCAGGTAAGTGTAGTTTCAACTCGCTCAATCATTTCACTTCCTACTGTTAGACAGAGCACCACTGAAAACCGGTCCTGAAGCAACAAATTGTATTTTGGTGGTGAGGAACGCATCTGAAACATTCTAAAATTGCCGTTTAGTGTGTCCAGAAGATTGCACCTTTATTTATGCAATATACAAGGCCTTAATTGACAGAATGATTTGTTTTTCTAATTTAGTTTACTTATTGCTGGTGTTATTGTAAGGATTGTATTGATGTTGTATGTTAATCAGCTTAGCGTATGAGAAAAATGACCAGAGATTATTACAATAATTTCATTATAGAGTTTGCTTCATAAAATTCTGGATTATGTGTATATAAATCAATACCAGTGATGCATTAAACGTATCTAGATTTCAGTGAGGATATATCCTTATTTAGTTGAGGTCACATTCAGTGGAGATTGCATCAACAATCTTCTTTGAATCTAGGCCCTCTAGTTTTGGAGATATTTAGGACTATTTTTATGCGTATCACTAACAGTTTTTTTCTAAAAATTTCCTTCTGTGTAGCAAAAAAATAAGTGCATATCATTTCTACTCATTATACTTTGAATTCCTCAGAGGATTTGATTTTTATTTCTCACGCCAGTTGAACTGCAGCTTTGTATTACTCTCAGTATGATGTACAGGCTTGTACACTTGGTTAGTGGATTTCGTTGATTTATACACGAATCGATTAATTAATAAATAATGATCAGAACTATGACAGTATCAGATCGTCTTGGAAACTCTGACTTTCGCTTCTGATCAATGAAAACATTCTTGGCAAATGCTTTCGCTGTAGTTTGCCTAGCGGCGATCCCAGAACTTCACCTCTAACACCGCCATACAAATGCTCCCGTCTGTCCCTCTTAGCCATTACTTTGGATCCGAAAACTAAAATAGAACCGAAGTTCTATTTCATTATTCCATCCAAGAATTTTCAGACACATGGGCCTGCTTTGAGCACTCAAATTTGTTCAAAGTAAAGATGTCATCCACTCCCGACACCCGTTTACAGGCATCTGGAAGCATGCCAACAGGCCGACAAGACAAGCTCATCAACTCACTAGCACGCGTTTAACACGGACATGGCTGAAAGGCTGCACAGCCACTACACCAAGCCGAACACAAGCCTTGATCGTAACCAAGAGCCATGAACGAGCAACGACATGTGACTGCACGACCCGGATTCAGCTGCGAGCTTCTTAACTGCAGCAACTTTAATATACGCATTTAGAGCTGGAGTTATCGTGGCTGCATTCACCAGACTTGCCCTCTTATTGATCCTCGTTAAAGGATTTAAATTGTACTTATTCGTATTACGGAACCTCAACTGAGTCCCATATTCATATTTTTCGCCACTACCTCCCCGTGCTGGGAGTGGGTAATTTTCGCGCCTGCTGCCATCTTTACATATGATAGCCATTCCTCAGGCTCCCTCTCCGGAAAGGTAGGTCGATAGACGAAATAACTTAGAACTTGACAAGAAATGCGACACTTCTGGTGTTCCCAACATTGACAGCGACACAACAAAAATATGAATGATATTAAAACAACTAGGAATAATATTAGAAGAAGGGAAGAAATAATTGAAGTCATCAAATGCTCCAGATTTTGAAAGCAATGATTAGTGGATACATCTGTGCTATTGTGAATGATTTTGAGCATTATCACCAAGAATCAACAATCATTGATTATTCATAACATCTTGAAGATTATATGCGGGAAATCAATGAAATAAAACTATATGAAAACAAGATTTCTAGATTTCAGGTAAAGATAGTATATGAATGTATCAGCATCACTATGACTGATTTTAAAACATATCAACTGGTTTTTCCAACCACTGATTTTGGTTATCTGTACATAGCTCGTCAACAGACGGTCATTCGAAGCTTCTACCCCGAATTAATTTGATGTCGTGTATTGCATCGGATGGCGACCGTATTTAGTAAACACATAAGCTAGCCATCGGCTCAAATGATTGAACTAAAATGAAGATTTGTCAAGTAATATACACCCCTTCCCCTGCAGCTGATAACTGTGATGTTGTGTAATTAGCAAAGAAGATGAATTGACTAGCATGTATCCTGAAACCAGGCCTTATGACCTTTAAAAGTCCAAAGAGAGAATACTGAGAGGGCACGTATTTTAAAAATGTTGGCTGGATATTTATAATTCTTAGAACACACAATCTAATCATTTAATGTCTGTGCATATGTGTAATACTAAGTTAATGTAACTATCCCTAGTGTGCTTGCCCTCAAAACTGTCCTAATCAGTTTTCTGTCATCATTCTTATATACGAATTGACAACATATCTGCTTTCCATGGTATTCACTAAATGAATATGGAAAAAATTTCAACGACTTGTCTTCTTTTTTCTCTAACTTGAAATTGATTCTAGTTTTATTGGAATCTCGTACTGTACATTGAGCGTTTTCATAATCGATAATGTGATCAAAATACTTGTAAACAAATTTAGTCATCAAATAAACATTTGTGTATTTTCTGATTGTGTAAACAGCTTAAGTGTTGATATTGACTATTATTTGAAGATCAATTGGTACACTTTTTCTGGGGGGAAATGTTTTCTGGTTGGTAATCATCATAGACTTACATCAGTTAGAAAGCCACTGGAAATTGGGAGCGCACACTGGACAGCTGTTTCTTCTGAGTACGAGACTCCTTAACAAAATGCACCTAGGACTTTCAGTTTCCGCCGCCGGCACTGAACCATTGGGTTGAAATTCAGTGGTTGATATTTCTTAATTCTGTCTGTTCATGATATAACGCGATCGCCATCTAATGCCGTCTCTGAGTAACTGTCCTCACATTCAATTTGGTTGGCCCCACCACTCATGAATTCTCATTAGTTTTGGGAATCTCATCTCAAAACTAGTTACTGATGTTGATGGTCATCTGATTGTCTATACTACAGCAAAAAACTATGAACAAGGTTATATTATTATTATTTGTCCTTTGGGTTCCTAGTGGAACATAGGGCTTCAGTAGCACGTCGCCATTTCACTCTCTTCTCTGCAGTCTTTTCAACCTTGCTCCACCACTGCTCAGAGGCTTTCATTTCTTCCTCACACGATCTCCTCCATGTCACCCTCGGATGCCCAACTCATTGTTTCCCATTTGGATTCCACTCAAGGATCTGGTATGTGATGCCCCAAGTGATCTCAGTGTACGCTTGATCCATCTCCACTTTCTTCCACTGCATATTTGTTGGGCGGTGGGTTCTTGGTTGGTTCGTTGCCAGCCAGCCAGCCAGCTAGAGTTACTTGTTGCTTATTCCTATTATTCTGGCCATCTGATCTGATCTTCAGTATCAAGTGAGCGTAGGTGGCAGCTGTTGATCTATGTCTGTAACTCGTTGGAAATACTTTTCGTAGCGTGCTTTCATCGAGAGAAGAGAAGACACATTGGCCAATTGGCTTCCCGAAGGCTTCCATCAACCGGCATCATTTCGTCTCTCCAATTTCAACAAGGAATAAGTTTATTTTTGTTTTTTATATTTTTCTGTGCCTTGAAGTTTCTTTAGCGATTGGATCTGTTTTACGGGGTAGGGTTGCTAGCCCTATTCCCAACCTTCCCTATTTATCCGGGCTTAGGATCGGTTAGTAAACTAAGCGAAGTTTGAACAAGGGTTATTGAAATCAATTCAATATCTACTTGTCTCTAGCAGCTATACTTTTATTTTTGACGAGAGTATGTATACTGCTCATAAATACATCAGGTCATTATCTTGGATGAAAATTGTCAGGCAGATTGAACATGGTTATACTTCCCTTGTAGAAAGGTAACACCCTTTAGTGTAGATCGTAGTTGAGACAAAGTTCTACCCAAATTCGGGGTTAGCATATTTACACTGTATTCTTAAGATCATTGAAAATTGTCTAGTTGTAGATATGAGTTTTATGTTTAGAATTGATTGATTTCAAGTTATTGCATCGAAGCTCATCGAAATCACTGTTTTCTTACGCCTTCAGTATCCCAGTCGGATACTTCCCTACTCGACTTAGAATGTAACAGTCAATAAACTTCATAGATTCTTATCATTATTCACTTTAACCATTTTTAACTTTCTTTCGATCTAATCCAACACCAGTTAACATTGCACAAGAATGTACGTTAGTTTGTAACAACTAGCTTTTGGTAGCTTTCCGTCTAGCCTGTAGGTAGGTAGGTAAGTACGTTGTTGCAGGGGGGCACGTAGTGCAGTGTGAGTTTAGTGGTGACCACGAGAATCTGGAAGCGAAAAGAGGAAGAAAAAAACGTGAGCCGACGACTAAGAAAGTACACAGGATGTACTTACACTTAATAATAAAAGATAACTGAAAAACGGTATAGCTTGGCAGTGAAGAAGTGAGGCAGTCTAGAAATCAAAGCCGAATGGTAAATGAGTAAGGTTTCGAATGCGTTATTTTCACTATACTTGAAATCTGTCAGCCACTGCAGATTCGAAACCTTGTCAACTCACCTTCTTTGCTTATTTCTCTTCATGTAACATAAATACTGATCACACTGTGGTTTCAATCCATATAAGCAACGCAGTGAAGATGTCTATGAAGAAAAATATTTAACCCTCTATTGTCTTCCATCGTCACCGGTTTAATCTGTTCTTGGTGGACAATCTGCATACACATGTATTTTTTGTTGTTGTTGTTGTCGTTATTGTCGAGGGCAGTGAAAACAAGCTTTGATTCTCAGGTATGTCTCATCACTGTGTTTCGCACTATGTCATCGTTTTACCATTATATCTAATCATTGTATCTTACTTTTCGCTTACTTTCAGTTAAATGATTAAATTCTATCAGCCTGTTTATCTTTTTTATTTGACTATTAGTCGAAGTCATCATTCGATTGACAACTAGTGTTGCCGGCTCCTTGACCGGTTTCATACTTCCAGCATTAGTACTACTTGTGGCAACGGCAGCAGCGAGTAAAGTCGGTGGTGGTGGAAATAGTAGTAGTAGCGACAGCAGTACTACAACTCCAGAACCACTGACATCCTCAGCAAGAGTAAAATTGTTTAGCATATCTTCGTCATGGTTAACGACAAGACTGCGCCAATTTAGTCGATTCGGTCGTAACTATTCAGCAGCTTATTGTTTACTATTCGTTGGATGTCTCTTATTCTCCTTGGAATTTTTCACTGTACATCATACAACAAATCCAGTGGGTTTTTTGGAAGTCGATAGTGTAGCTATATATTCAAATGTCTTGAAGTCTACTGGTATCAATAATGCTACAATGAAGAGTCCACCACAACCGATAGACATAAAAAATCTTCAATCATATTCATCAAAGAAATCTGTGGATAACTTGGTGTCAACTAGTACTACTACTACTACTACTACTACTACTACTACTACTACTACTAATAATAATAATAATAATAATAATAATAATAATAATAATAATGCTATTCCGCCTCCACTTGCTCAATATGACGTTCCTCGCAAAACAGATAAAAATGTTGAAAACCTAACAAAACAATTATTAAACCAAATTACCAGTGAGACCAATGATAGTATCAGTGGCAGTGATAACCTATCCCCTGGAGAAAAGGGTAACTTGAAGCATGCACGGATTTCATTGAATCGGAGACGTAAAACAACACTTGAACAAATTGCCAGCAATGATAATGTAAATTATCACAATGGAAAGAAGTTGATAAGTGTAAATAAAACTGTTTGATTGTTTATTTTTGTTATACAATAAGTTGTGTTTAACAGCTGTTCACTTGTGATAGGATCATAATAATCTGATTTTATTTATCATCCTTGTGTTAGTAGTTTTGTGTGCATGTGTATGTGTATGTTTGCTTTTCTTCTCTAACAGTTTTCTATCTCTTTGTCTCAATTGTTCTGTGATATATTTAAACTTGATGAAAAATACGCCGTCTCTTTCCCTCTTTGTTTGTGGTTTAAACCCCCATTGAAGGCTCACCTCTATATTTGTGTGTGTATATGTGAGAGAAAATTCGATTGTAAAAAAGAATTAGTGAGCACATATACACTGGATCTTATTTTGGTACTGACTTGACTACAAAAATATTGAGTTGTTAAATATTGATTTAATATCACAGTTTCCTCTCAAAGGCTTACTTCAACATCTGGGGATTTTTTTCATTGTTCTCAACCTCCTGTTTTTAAAGAAAGTACAAATTAGTGATGCAAAAAAGCTGTCTTCCAAGTCGTTATTCACGTGTGTGCAAAGATGAGTTTGTAATCGTGCGTTTCTTGTTTTGCAGTTTTTTTTTGTTAAGTTTTCATCTTTCCTCACAATTTTGGGCGGCTTTAAAGGCCATCCTAGCAGCAACTGAGATGACCAATCAGACTTTGATATTACACCTGGGAAAGTACTTTTCCAAAAAATATAGGGCTGTCATATTAATTGTTAGGATGACCTCTAAAGTCACTCTACAATTTGCTTCCTATAGATTTAATAGTTCGCTTTCTTTACTTGTCAAGGTGAAATTGATCACTTGACTTGTCGACGTTTTGTTAGATTAGATTATGTTAAATTTAACCAACAAGTTCTGTCACAGGAAGGTGAGTGGTTAAAGCATATGTTTTTATGCACTGTGCTAGTTGTGATAGGAAAATGTTAAGGTGGGTAGATTCAGACAGCACCTATCCATTAAGTTACTAACTATTGATCTGAATCGGATCCTGGAAGTGTTTGACATCAGTGGTTAAAGATTCAACGGTTTGAAATAAAACCAATTAAAGGGATTATTTCAACTAAACTGGATAGTAGAAAAATGACTGCTGCTTTAATTAGTTCCTGATTGGTATGTTGATAGGGTTTTAGTTCACTAATTCTTTACTAATTACATTTTCTGTTTGATACTTTTTAATTGGTGCGATTGTAGTATGGTGAAGTTGATCAATAGTCACCACTTGTTTTTCAAATCAAATCAACTTTTATTTAACATTTGAATCCAAGTTGACCGACTGACAAAATCAACTTAGAACTTCGCACAGGAGTACATTGACTCAGGTCGCTACACTTCACAGAAGTAGCCAAAGAAAAGATGGATAGGAAACGAGTGATGTCAAAGTAGGTAAAGTAGTGTGACCGAATAAACAATCAGAAGATAAAGGTTAGTGTGAATATTCATGCTTTAGATGTCAAGGAGTGAATACATCTTCACCATTGTGACAGATTTCCAGCCATGTCGCTAAGAGTCCTTAACTACTGATTCATTTCGTCTCTGGAACCTCAACCAAATAGTCTACATCTCCCCGCACAGCTCAAGCCAACAGTCAAGGACTTCATCGACTGGTGCCATGTCTGAGTCTGGTCAAGCTGGATGAATTTTGCATACTTTTCCTATTCGATGGGTTCTCACAATAGTGACTTTCGAGATTTTGGCTTAAATCGACCAGGGTTTCAGTTCACAGGGCTTATTGAAAGATTTCGTGTTTGATTCAACTGAACTTGCTGTCTCCTAAGTGGTAGATGTATTGCTATGTGATTGAATCGAGAATGTGTCGTTTTCCCTTGTAATGTCTTGGATACTCGTTTTGCATTGGAGTTTGGTAAGATTTGCTTAGGTAGTCAGTAGAATTAGAGGTTTAGTCCTACTAAACTATTTTTCTTATTCAATTTGGAGAGCTGACCAGCCTTTGCTCGATCCCTTGCGGGGTTGTGCGTGCACACTGCTGACCTGCGTCATGCAAGAATGAAACAACTGTCTAGTGCTCCAAATGATTTCATTCCGCGATTAGTACTACCTCGATATTATTCTTATGTTGAAAAACTGCTTCCAAATGTACGTACCTGTTGATTGCTTGATGTCTTCAGAAATTATCTTCCATTTTCTAAAGTAGCCCATCGCAAGATTATACTACTCAATAATACTAAGTAGTATAAAACTAATGGCATAAAGGGTGACATCACATGGAGTAAAGTAAACAAATGAGAAAGGAATAACTAGTTAACATGTGATGGAATGAGTAATGTTATTTTAAGGTCTTATCGCTGTCTGATATGCAATATAATAACGGAAACATTAAACTACAATACATCTTCCCTATTGAGCTAAAAATCACGTTTAGTTTATGAGGGCTTATAATACCATTTGGCTCTCCAGGCTGAAGTAGAGTTACTAGTTAGTCAGTGTCAAGATGGGGCATGGTATTACTTCATGATGATCTGAATTGCTACTCCTCACATCAATATATAAGGCAACAAAATAAAAGATAGTGAAATAATAAAGAAAGGAACATGAGATCAAACAATAAAATGTGATATAAGAATCTAGATGCAGATAGTCTATGGACATATTTAAGCCTCTGAGATCGACTGTGATCCATATTACCTGTATATGCTACCTGTATTACACTGTTCTCAATCGGAAAGTCTGCATGGAGGTGTATGTCACTATGTTTTTAGATGTACGCACGATAGTGTGACAATCTGCTGTACTAAGTAGGTATAATGACTGTTAGCTAATCATACACAACGGTATTCTACCTAGAGTATTTGATTTATAAACAAGCTGTTTTGGTCGAGTAGCATAGAAATACTGTAGACGAATTAATAGTCAATTACCAGCATATTTATGTCATCCATCTTCAGTGCCTGTACCTCTTAGTTATGTTGCCGAAAAGAATAACTGCTTTATGTGTCTTGTCCTTGATGATTGATGGAATATTTCACTGACATAATTAGTAAAGCAAAATGGTCTTGGTTTCTCACCGCTGACGTGTAAAGTAGTATGACAATATTGATGGTAATATGTATTCCCATTCATCCTCGACAACGAAGCATTAGAAATATACTCCATTTGATTGAGTAATTTTGTGAAGGTGTGACTGATGCTATTTTCATTCATGAAGTACAAGTCAGGACAGTATACGCCAGTCAAAGTCACCTATCCCACTGCCTTAACTTTACTGTTGCGATGACAGATCGTTTTGATGAGAACAGTTTTGTTATACACCTGTGGGATCGTGCTTTGTTGGTCTTAAGATGTCTAAGAACTCTGTAGCCTCTTATTTTTTTTTGTAGGATTTTCTACATCCGCTAACAGCATCATGTCAATAATCTCACGGCATATATTTGGGTGTGTTGAAAGCCGTTGTTAAATAAATAAGTTCATCTTGAAATAGTGACTTGGATGCCTGTGGCTTCCGTAGCATCTGCTGTTTTTCAGCATTAGGACTGGTCGGAAGAAGTGAAGTGACGGTTATTTTCTGATGAGTCTACATAGAGTGAAGTACATTTTCGCTGATGTATGACAACATACCTAGTAAGGTCTCATAAAACATACGGTTCAATAGTTTGGAAAGACTTCAGATATGGCTTTATATCGTAACCAGTGACAAATATTTTACAGTTTCCGTTTTTTCCTTGACACAAAACTAGTGTAAGCTTCCTGAGTTCATCTTTCGTGACTATTTCTTTTTCTCCGATCATTCTGTTTCTCGATATCTCTTTCCTTATTTCCACTTTCTCTCAATATTGTCATGATATTTTGTATGTTACAGTCTTTAGCGTCAATGTTCTACTAACACTATGTTGAAACAAAAGATGAAACCAGACCCTTATTCTTGTCCTCTCCTGTGTGATTGATCAGTTATTACTTAACAAACTAGTTGAAGATACTAAACGAACCATAGATCAAGAGCGGATATTCACAAATTACGAACTACCTGTTACATTAATGTATTTGATTGTGGCTAGCGGGAGACGAGCGTTTCGTCCTATTCGGGACTCGTCAGCTGGATGTATAACTTATTTTCAGCTTATTGGCTATCCTCTGACATAATGAAAGTAATTGCAAATGCTTTCTGTATGTTCCTTTGATAATCCAATGGTGGTTTAAGGTGCTCTAGTCGATCAAATTAATTATGTGATATATATCTATATGATTAAAGCGAAATAATGGTATATCTATGATGCATAATCTATTCGCAATTAGAGCTTCGTTTTGTGCATTGCTTCGTCCTCACCTTCTTTACTTCTAAATAACATTATCCCACTCCAGAGTTCTGCAGTCACCAAAGATGATTCAGTTACCTAACGGCTTCTCATATATAACACTGGTTCGTTTATTCAAGTGCGATCGAAAGTTAGACATATTGTTGTATTGATACTTGTAATTTCCTGTTCCTATACAGGCCCGAACTGCTCGACCTGTGTTGGTAGATGAGCTGCTATGTAGATGCCTCAATATTGCTGGGTATTCGCGGTGTTATATTGATCTCAGTGACCAGCAGAAGGACCTAGGCTACGCGTTACGTCCTATTCGGGAGTCATCAGTTGGACGTACCTCCACCTCAGCGCAATGAGTGTTGTTCCCACTGAGGCTCGAACCTAGTACCTTTCACTCTAAACGCTAGAACATCATCCACCGGGGCACAATAGCCACCTCTTGTGCAACCGGTACCAGTTGTTGTTATGATACTTGTAATTTCCCGTTGCTATACAGGGCTGAATTCCTCGACTTCTGTTGGTAGGTGGGTTCCTGTGTGGGCACATCCAGTTGATGAGTCCCAAATAGGACGAAACGCACGTCCTTGATCCCTCTGCTAGTCACCAAGGTCAATATATACATTGTTATTAGTGTCAGTGATTTATCTTCACCCCCACTTCCCGCTGCGTTCATTATCATATTAATTTATTTGGTATGGAATCAGAGAACTTCGCTGCTCACACAGACATTGGTTCTTGTAACAATACTCATATTCGTTTTCAGTCGACTCACCTTTCTTTGAATACTGAAACAAATAAAGTAAATGTAGTAGTTTTCAATGTAACATATACTTAACACTATTCTACCTACATTCATTGGGTGCATAGGTGGAAGTAATAAATAGGTATCGGCCCACATAGAAACTTCATGTTCGTGTGAAACTATCTGGTACAGCAATGTAAAGAAGATTGTTGCTGTCGTTAAAGAGTATGTAACTCATCTTGTCATTGAGTGTTGGTTCTCGGTTACAGACTACTCAGTCACCGAATACATAAAATGATGTGACTTTTAAGAATATTCAAACTCTGTCGAAGAGGACTAATCACTTAAAAAGCCATTATGCTCAAATGAAGATTCATCGTTTACCTTTCGATATGCATAATTTTTTTTACTATCTAACGAAGATTATATTATGAAGTTTAGTTGTAGTTGATTACTATCTGTTGCAGTGTGATATAAAAACGCAGGAAGATCTTTAGGAAAACTATATTCCATTCTGTCG